CTATATAGTGCTGGCCCGTCCAGGAGGCTGCTCTTGCCAATGCCTCAACGTGCCAGACCCTGGGGTTGAAGCTCAAACAAAGGTTGTCTTGAAAACAGGCCAGAAATAGCCTGAGCTAAGGCCCTGGTCTGGTGCCTGAGTTTCGGGGCAGGCCGAACTCATGAGGGCCCGGAAATGGCCCTCAGTTTCAGGCTGAAAACACTCAGGGCCGGGAAGGCCCTGATTTAGCCTGAAACAACACAGGGCCTGTAGGCCCTTGTTTTCAGGCTTTCAGGCTGAAACAACACAGGGCCTGTAGGCCCTTGTTTTCAGGCTTTCAGGCTGAAACGACACAGGGCCTGTAGGCAGGCTTTCAGGCTGAAACGACACAGGGCCTGTTGTAGGCTCTTGTTTTCAGGCTTTTGGACTGAAAACGTCACGGGCCTGGAAATGGCCCGTGCAGCCTGTTGCAGGCGCAGCATGTAACACAGCGCATCCCCTGGCACCGTCGTGCTTCCTGTGTGAAAGCAGCATCGGGCAAAGACTTGTGGACAGAGTGTGATATGTAGATAGGCTAGGCTGGTAGGAGCGTAGAAGTAGGAAGGGCGGTCAGGCCGCCAGCAGGAATACTACATCGTTGTTGTTTCGATGATAGGAGGTGGTGGAAGGGCTTTCTTTATCAAGAGACTCCGGTGTACTGCTTGTTCTTGGTGCGAATTTCACTTTCATTTCTGCTTTCAACTTGGCTCAATTATGTCTGGTCTTCTGTGATATGTGGCAATCTGCGTTATTGGTGTTCTGACTGTTCTTATTGCATGTTTCCTTGCATCTTGCTCCCGAAACTCTTTCATAAAATTCTACTTGATCTTAGACGAAAGGCCAAACTATCTGCCGTAAGGCATTGTTTTGTAGAGGACAGATAGTTGGCTGGTGATCATACCTCGCTTGAACTTCTGGACACTCAACTCATCAGTGTGGACATGTTCCTTGGCGAACAGTTTCAATCTCCCAACTATTATGTAAGTTTTGGTAGAGGACTGATAGTTGATTGAATGACGTTTCTTGTTTGTGCACTGTTTTGTTGACTGTTTGTTCTGCGCAGGAGGGTGCCAGTGAAGATGATATTGGCTCGCTACCATTGTACAACTATCAGCCAGCCAGAGATGGGCTCTGTGTAACAGAAAGAGGGTTGCCGCGTCCCAGTAAGGGAATAATGGTGCCTATTGGAGATGGTGGTTCAGAGCGAGATATCTCGGTTGAAGATGCAGTGAGTGCAATGTTTCTGCTCCCCAAGTCTTTCTGCTCCCCAAGAGTTGCTGCCTTTCTTTATCTAGAAAACTTACAGGAGTTTAGCAGTTCCTTCTAAATCCCACTGCGGCCGCCTCTTTTCTGTGTTCTTTTCTCTCCTGGAATCTCTTGGAAAGTGAGCTTCCTTTTCCTCTTGAGCCTGGAATGTAATTCAAGGGAACAACTCACGTTTTGCTATCCCTTTCCCATTCCTCCTAGTCAACGACAGATGGTGATCGACTGGCCAGCTCCTCCGATTGGGGTGTGTGGTAAAGAAGCACAAGTCTGCGTCATTGTGTTCAGCATCTACCTCATCCATGGTTTAGTGGGAGACCTGAGGGCAGAGGGGAATGTGAAAATTCCAACCTCAGTGCTAGGGTAATGCACGTAACTTCAGAAAGCTTACATTATATGATTATAATCATTTATGAATTCACACAAGCGCGCCCCACCTCATCCTTTGTTTAGTGGGAGACCTGAAGGCAGAGGTGAATGTGAAAATTCCAACTTCAGTGCTAGGGTAATGCATGTAACTTGCAGAATGCTTACATCGTAATCATTCATGAATTCACAATGGTCAAATTGAATGAAAACATCAACAGGAGATAACAAGGATGGAAAAGAAAAAGCGAAGAAGAACAGCAAGAGTATGAAATAGCTTTGAAATACAAATATCAAAGGATTCACGCGCCTGGCACCACAGCACTGCGTCCCATTTTCTTTTGTATCAGAGGACCGCGTTTGCAGTAGGCACTGTAGCAGACAAAGATAGAGAATCGGTGAGTCCCTAGCAGTCTGTAGGTAGGCAGTCACCACGTGTCCAGACCCTGTCAGGTCGCAGCTCAGTCCTAGGAAAGGCCCAGGGGACAGTCCGAATCTTTGCTGGGCGCGCCAGGGCCTGGCAGAAGAAGCCACAAGCTATGCGAGGAGGCATCCAGCACAATCACTTACGGGAGGCCCATGCCAGAAACCTCCTCTTCCTCGATTCTGGCTTATGCAGAACCGCTGCGTCTTTTCATGAGCTTAGATCCTGCATACATGAACAGTGACTGGTGAGGCGGTAGACAATACTTTCGGAGAGCACAGTAGCAAGGAGGGAGAGCAGTGAGGACAACATTCAGAGAGAGACCGTGAGACTTGTGTGTGTGTGTGTGTGTGCATGCAGTAGGAGAGAGAGAGAGAGAGAGAGAGAGAGAGAGAGAGAGAGACTTACCTGCTTGTCGTTGTTGCCGGCAACCGTATATCATTTCAAGCTGTAGGTATAGTTCTATGTGTGATCACATCATGTGGATCTTGCGGGTGTGACTTGGATCTTGAGTGCGATGCAGTGACTGGTGAGGCGGTAGACAATACTTTCAGAGAGCACAGTAGCATCGAGGGAGAGCAGTGAAGACATTCAGAGAGAGACCGTGAGACTTGTGTGTGTGTGTGTGCACGCAGTAGGAGGGAGAGAGAGAGAGAGAGAGAGAGAGAGAGAGAGAGAGAGTTACCTGCGAGAGAGAGAGAGAGAGAGAGAGAGAGAGAGAGAGAGAGAG